GAACCACTCCAAGTTGCTGTTGCTCGTCAGCACTGCATTGCTGTTATTGTTGTAGAGTGATTCAATTATTGTCACCAATCCTGCGCCCATATTGTACTTTTTCATTACTAACCATAGTGCTTCCCTCCACACCCTGTCGAACACTTTCTTGAAATCAATGAAGTTGTGGTGTAGCTCCATTTGGTGATTACGGTATTTCTCTCCCAGAATTCTCACATTTGCAACTTGCTCGACAGTACTCCATTCACTCCTAAATCCCGCCTGTTCCTCTGCTAGAACGGCTTCCGCTCTCGTCTTCAGTCGCTTACCGATGACTTTCAGTAGAACCTTGCTTGGGTGGCTTATGAGACTAATTGTTCTGTAGTTTGTGCATTTCTTCAGATCACCTTTCTTATATATATATATATATATATATATATATATATATATATACATATATATGTATATATATATATGACTGCCGCGATGGTCCAGTTGAATTCATGGTCGCGCGGTCGTAAAACTGCCTGCGCTCTAACTGCTTGCTCGAGCCCGAGAAAACGACATATCGCCTTGAGAAGACAATCGCAGGTGTCGTAAGGGAAGTCACCGCCTTGGCACAATTGTCAGCGCGCCGAACCGCGGTTGATTCAGAAGGGCATCCAATCAGGCAAGGGTGACACTGCCATATAACCTCTCAAGAGTAAATGGAGAGAAGCCTATGTCCTGCAGTGGAATGAATGGCTGTTAAAAAAAAATATATATATATATACATATACATACATATATATAAATATATATATATATATACATATATATATATACATATATAAATACATATATAAATCTTTCTCGCCTTTAAAATGTGTAATAATTCCAGAAGGGTGACAAAATCGAATAGGAAGTGATTATTATAGTTATTAGTTAGCAATAACCAAATTGACAAGGTATATTTTTCCCTTGTTTATAGATTACTGGGGGCGAGCTTCGATTTTTATGCTCTTCAGTTTTCGCTTTATTTAAAATTTCTTTTGACGTGTATATGTCATATATATGAAATGTTTACTTCTTGTCAAGCAAGATTCAACACTGCCCTTTCGTATAAAAGAGCTGTTAGGCATTTATGATGTGATTGTGAGCGACTGTTCGAAGTTTAGCCATAATCTAGCGCGTCAAAGTCTACCGGGTTTATAAGCCACTTATCTAAACCAACGTGTCTGTAAGGAGAAAAGACGGAAGGAGTTCAGATCTTACCATCTCTATGTATAAATTAGCAAGGGCATGGCCTAAAGTACTTCCATTGTGATGCCATGATTCTGTAAGCGTAATTCGTGACGCATAAACGAATGAGCTCGATGAAACAAGTAACCGAATTATGAGACTTCTTTTCGCCAAGCGAAACATGAAAGGGAATATACATCCATGTACATCGGGAAACTTTTCACTGAAATCCATCGACTACTTGTTGACTGCCAAGGAAAGATCCCATGAAAGGAGAGTAAGTGCTAGCAAGCAAAAAAAAACTATACATTAGTTACATGAAGCAATAAGGGGTCTATGGAAAACCGTCTCTGTGAGTGTTCGGAAGGAAGGCCGTAAAAATATGGAATAGAAGGATTTACAGTTCAGAACCAATCAGAGAATTTGGGATCTGGCTATTTAGCAACAATATGCATGAGTTTTTACGAAACTATTTTATAACAATGCGATAAGGGTTGGACTGTAGTTTTTGGTACGTCGTGTTATCGAGCAGGGTATAAGCTTTGTTGATAAAGTAAGGATAACAACGTTATTTTTTTCTGTATTGCATTTTGTAATCGAAATATCCTAGTTACGTTTAAGTGATATAGCATCAAAAGTAACGTCGGTGTAGACCATTGAAAGCGTTTGTGCCACACTAGCGCATGGTCAGTTTATTAATTTTATTCACTAAGAATAGGTAGCATGGTCTCCTTTATACCTAGACTGAATATTCTATAGGGATGTATAGGATATGATAATGTAGTGAGAATGATAGAAATCGTAGACACATGACTTCAAGATGTGAAATTGCACAGCCAACTGGTGGTAGGGCACACACACACACACACACACACATACACACATACACACACATACACATACACACACACACGCACACTCACACTCGCACTCACTCACACACACAAACACACACACACACTCACACTCACACACACACACACACTAACTCACTCACACACACACACTCACACTCACACACACTCACACACATATCTATATATCCTTTTAATAATTTCTTCCAAACTTTCAGGACCTCCCCGAACTCCTCTCGTGGGTTTTTTGCCAAAATTAGAAAATCATCTTATTCACAAGCAAATGTGGCGGATGTCATATAGTTACGGGTCAGTCATAGGAGTTTTCTTTGCCCATAAACCTGTCGTGGTCGTCAATGGATGGGAAGCAATTAAGGAGTCGCTGCAGAACGACGATCTCAATGGGCGTCCCGAGATCTCCCTTCGGAAGATAATGCAGGGAGGAGTTCTTCGCGGTGAGAACCTCGGTCTGACGATTATTTTATGCCATAATAATTACGTAGCTAAACTTCTAAGCTTTTGATATAATATACAATCTTGTTATTGTGAATAGCATTATTAATTAAATACATATTGCAGGCGTGATGTTCGTGGAAGGTGAATTCTGGAAAGAGCAGCGTCGCTTTTCCCTGCATCATTTCCGGAACCTGGGGTTCGGGAAGCGCTCGCATGAGAGCGTGATCCACGAGGAGGCCAGGGAGCTCATCGACGAGATCCTGGACGCCGACGGTAGCGTCAAACTACAGGTAGTTTTCTGTGTGTGTGTGTGGGGGGGGGGGGGTAGTGCCTGGCGAGCACGATCAGTACTTATCTCAGTTATCGAATCAAGGCAACTGCAGACACTGTTCCCCCGTTATCAATGACATGAATGATACCGTAATAACTGATTATGAAATTATTAGCTCCAACCTTTTCCTTGAAGCAACGTCCCAACACATCTGCACCAAGTATTATCCGATATTGTGCAGCAGTTGTTGCAAAGGGAGCATGCGGAACTGATCGCTGAATTTTCACTTATGATTTCTACTTTAGGCATAGCGAGGGACTAATCTACACTTTTAGTTTTCATTTATCTAGTTAAACGAAGCAAGGTCATAGTCTAATGAAACTTCAAATTACGCAAAGCATATTAAACATTACTGACGTTGAATATACTGACCGGGCTTTCATTGGAACATTTACATCCTTGAACATTCCCGTGCCAGGGAAGTCTTAGTGATGACCCGTTGTAAATTTGCCTAGATTTTGACCTGTCGTACACATCACATAAATTCATCTGTATGATCTTACATTATTTTTTTTCATAAGTAAGCACAAATTGGTAGATTAATACGGCTTTCAAGAATCTCACGTTTCGAAGGATCCCAAACCTTCATTATCATCCTGTAAGCAGGAACCAGTGTCGTTAGGCAGTCCGATTATGCATGTTCTGTTTATATATATATATATATATATATATATATATATATATATATATATATATATATATATATATATATATATATATATATATCGCAACTAAACAATGTCAACACAAGCATAACACAATAACATAAATACACGATACATACAAAATACATGAACTCAATACAAGTTTATATGAAAAACATTAATGTGGATTGCGCAAGTGTGTCCGACTAACCAAAGTGGTGAAGGGCTGCCTAATGGGTAAACGAGGCAGTTGCGGTTCTTGTATTGTTAATTTATTATTTTTATAAGAAGAGCTTCTGAGGTGATGAGGTCTTGGCAGGAGGAGTGAGAGTATAAAATACTTAAATGTGTGTGTGTGTGTGTGTGTGTGTGTGTGTGTGTGTGTGTGTGTGTGTGTGTGTGTGTGTGTGTGTGTGTGTGTGTGTGTGTGTGTGTACACACATTATATATCTGCATGTGTGTGTGCTCAAGTATGTATGTATGTATGTACACTCACACGCACACACACGCACGCGCACGCGCATACACACGCACACACACACACACACACACACACACACACACACACACACACACACACACACACTCACACACATACACACACGCGCGCGCGCGCGCATACCCTCAAATATATATTGTGTGCTACAGTATATACATTTACAAAATTGTCATAATATTAAATACATATACATACACATGTACATGCATATACAGTAGAAATGTATGCCGGTACATATTGATATTTGTCGATATTAAGCAAAACTAATCTTTATCTACAACTGCTGACCAGAGTGTCGTGGGCATTTCGTCCATCAACATCCTGTGGGCGGTGATGGGCGGCGACAGATTCCCGAGGAAGGACCCGCAACTCATGCATCTCGTCGATAGCCTCAACAAACTCTTCAGAGCAGGAGATGTAAGGCGCGGAGTATTATAATAGAGAAGACAGTAGTTGGAATCGCTGTCGTTATACTAGTACTATAATTTTGATAATGGTAATAATAATGACAGTATAAACAACAACAGTTATAATGAAAGTAACAATAACGATACTAATGACAATGATGATAATAATAATGATGACGTTGATGATGATAATGATGATGATGATGATGATAATAATGATAATAATAATGATAATTGCCATTACTGCTACTAAAATTATTATCATTACTATCATAATTATAATCATAATTATTACTATTATATTTATTATCCTTATTATAATGATAATAGTGATTAGTGATTAATGCATAAAGCATGTACTTATACACAGTAGATGTTCTTCTATAGATATATTCGTTCTCAGCCAAGCGGTGGCCTCGTTGGTGCATTCCCCTTTTTGCGGCATTTTGTTTCCCAAGAGAATAGAGCTGTGATTGTCATGAACGGATTCGCTCTCGTAGAAGAATTTATTAAGGTAAGGCCAAGTAAAATGAGTCTTAAGAGCGCATACATTCACATATTTCAGAAAAGTAATATTTGTACATGACGTGTACTTAATAGTTCATAGTTAATAAATGGCAATTTTACGTTACGTTTCGTTGTGACTTGGTTTACAGAAAGCAGTAGAACAACACAAGGAAAGCCTCGACCCGAACAACCCTAGAGATTTTATAGATATCTACCTCAATGAGATTAACAACGAACTCAACAACAACAGCAAAACAAGCTCCACCTTCTCTGGTAAGTGGATAAGCAATCAAGCAGATCCCAACGTCGGTCCCTGGACGATCGGTCCCCTCATAGGGAAGAACATTACAAATTATTTTATATAGAGAAAGCAAGGTTATTTCAGTTATCCTGACCTGAGGAACAAATTTCCCAAAGTATTTCTCTTCTCGCAGAGAAACAGCTGATTGCAGTTTGTACTGATGTGTTCAGCGCTGGAGCCGAGACAGGATCCGCAACTGTGGCATTTGCTGTTATGCTCATGTGCCTCTTCCCGGAAGTCATGAAGAAAGTGCAAGAGGAGATTGACTCCGTTATTGGGCGAAATCGTTTTCCCAGCATGGCGGACCGAACAGAGTAAGCATCACTCGATAAACGATAAAAATCGTTTAAAATATAAAAATCGATAAAGATGGTTTGTTGCGGGCGTGTTTATACGGTATGCGTTTGTGTGCGTGTATGTATGCATGTGATTTCATGTGAATACGCTCCTGAGTGATGATTTCCACTTAGATCTTAGTGACAAAGCGAAGATATACGCCTCGTTGGTGTTGCTTCCTAGTGCACCAACGGCTCCATTTCCTGTTTTTGTATTCCAGAGTCAAGAGTCAAGAGAGCCATGGTCAGATTGAGGTTTATTATGACACCTGGTTGGGGACTTACCCATTTACCCCCTAAAGTGACACACTCTTTTCATGTGTCTCTCTGTCATTTACTTTTTTTCCTTTAAACAACATTTCTTGAATTTGTAACCATTATGTGTAGTAATATCACTATGTGTAGCCCCGATTGAAAAAGGTTTCCTTTTATTTCATTTTGAATTCACTACTCGGGAACCATTGTCTTCGAGCTGTCACTTTCCTGCGTAATCTTGTAATTTGTATCAACAGTGCATTACTGATGCACCAGCCATTATAGTCAGCATTAATGTGAATCCCATCCCAGCTCGTAAGCCGCCACTCATGCACAGAAATCCAACATATAAACATGTTCTTCAAGGCAATTACCTTTAAGTCGTTTGATCATATCTACCACCTGCCCACAGCTTGCCCTACTTAGAGGCAACTCTAAATGAAGTATTCCGCTTTCGGGGGGCGGCCACCTTCACCGTCCCTCATAGTGCTATGCGAGATACAGTATTGCGGGTAAGCAACCTACCACTATAAGTTTATGATGCTCTGTTTTCTCACTTGTCTGTATTTCCCTCTTTCTAGATATTGGTTCATATTATATTCATGAATTATTTTATGAAATTATAGACAAAGGATAGAATACTTATTTCCTCATATTCATTATTGGCATGGTAATCTCACTGAATTTACGTGTACCTTAGTTCATTTTACCAAATCGTTTTTGCGCTCATGCATTATTGTTTAAAAAACTGGGTTATATTTTCTATTCAAAGGGGTACCGAATCCCAGCCAAAACCATGGTGATGAACAACCTGTACAGTGTTCACATGGATCCGGAATACTGGGGCGATCCTGAAAACTTCCGTCCTGAGCGCTTCATCAATGCTGATGGAACCTTCCACAAAGACGAGCGAATGATTCCCTTCGGCAAAGGTAAAGGATCCGTCTCGTGTTCATGGTCGAACTGCAAGTTTATCTGCTTGCATCTTTTTCATTCTTCTACTAGGAATAAAGTTTTGTAGTCCAGCGCAAAACAAAACTTTACTGGTCCCATTGTCCATGTTCCTCTAAGTTAACATATACATTCCCCTCCATGGTCCTCCAGGTCGACGGCTGTGTCTCGGAGAGCCTCTCGCTCGCATGACGTCGTTCCTGCTGTTCGCGGCGCTCGTGCAGCATCTAGACTTCGAGCTCGACCCCGCCGTCCCCGTCACCAACACGGAGGGCGTCGCAGGGTTCACGCTCGGCCCGCCAGAGTTCAGAGTCTTTGCCAAACGCAGATATTAAGAGAGATATGCATGTACATTCACTTGAACATTGGTATCGAATCGAAACACCATTTTTAAACTAAGTTAAAGTTCAGTAAATTTATTTACTACCTTGGCTATCTGCCCAGGCGTAGGGAATCGTGATTAGATTTACATATATTTGATTACTGTAATAGTACATGGTAAAATAAATATACAAATCATACATCATAAAAAAATAGAACTCCTCCTTGTGGTGTCCCAAGTTCAAAAGATTATGGAACTCTTCACCCCCCTGAGCAAGACACTTTCAGGTCGGTTCGAAAGATACATTCTAATCCAGGTCAATAATTTATCCCAGAGCTTACTAAGTGTTCTAGGAAAACTTCTCTGTTTGCAACGTGAAAAGCTGACTTAAGGTCAAGAAAAACAGTGTGTTTCCCTGGATTAGTGCTTGAAAAGTACTCTGCAGAGCAACGTTGTGTACAATGTCCCGATAGAAATCCGTATAGTCTGTGAGAAAATATACCTTGTAATCGGTACCTGAGTTCTTGACAAACTTAACTTGTACAGGTGCAAAAGGGGATTACCAGATACCTGAGCTATAAGGCGGAGGACACTACAGGTAATTCCATCTGTAAGCTTAACAGAGATGGTCTTGGGGCGGTCAAATGAAAGGGGTCTTAGCTTGCTGGTTTATTTGTGAAGATAGATATGAAACCCTAAGAGACCCCCCATGTCCCCGGGTGGAGGACGAGGTGGTGGAGCTGGACCCTGTGTGGCTTGGCCTGTTTGCCGTGTCTCTCCCCCTTCGTCTTATGCACGTACCCTTTTTTGCGGCGGTTTCCTTGGAGGGCGGATGTTTGTTCCTGTGCTAAAAGAGAAAGCTAGGCAGCACCTGTGTCCTGTCCAAGGAGAAGGGCAGCTGCTTGGATGGAGGTGTGAAGTCTGCCATCCGGTCTTGCTACGTATTGTTGACACCATCCTCACCTGGGGTGGACGCTTTTTCTTTGTTCAGTTCCCACTCAATAATCTCAGCAAAGTCTGAAGGGTCGGTATCATATATCCAGTCTTTAATAGCAAATTTTAGACTGACTAAAGTGATTCTGAATATTTATTCTGAATATATCTGCTCAGCCGAGTCAGCTGGTGCCGACGGGGCTGAGCATAGCCCTTACCCGCTGTGGTGCACAGCCACAACAGTAACCCTCAAGGCAACAATTGCAACTTCTCGCGCCTGGGCGGGGCGCGAATCGCCAACCCCTCGGATGAGAGGCCGACACGTTACTACTGTACTAGCCCGGAGGCTCCCGCCATGTGAGTTTCCCTGTGTGTATCATATACGGTCATAGATCTATTGTTCACAAAATATCGGAACTCTTCGCCATTTTCATTGCATTGATTATATTTAAATGTATAATGTCTAGCATTAAAATCTCCCATGCATATTTTGCCGTGAATCTGAAAGTTGGGCAGTAGTGAATCAGTTTGAAATTTTCCACATCTTGCGTATACATTGCACACAGAGAAAAACCCAGAGGCTGTTCGAATATGTAAATGCTGATATTGCATATTGTCATCAGACTTCTGCACCAGCTTATGCGGTGTCAATAGGTCTGTTATTCCTGTGTCCGTATAGGAGTGGTACCCTCTAATTCTAGGGGCGCTTTTTATTTTAGTGGCTGAACTGAAGGGCTCTTGTAAACAGATAACGTTAACATCATTGTTTTAAATATAGTAAATCAAATCATTAATTCAACGGTTGACACCACGTATATTCGATAAAAAGTAATTTTCTTGTTCCCATCACATCCTATGTTTAGCTGATCGGTCAAGTTTGTGTTTGATGAAGCCCTTTAATCTGCATATTTCTTGTACATCATTATATATCTGTGTTGCATGTTTATTTGAACAGATTTTGCTCGTTTTCCTCAAATTGATATCCTATGTATAACCCGTACCTGATATCATTCCCACAGTTATTCTTCCTGTACATCGTCGGCGTTTTCACTGTCACTGCCGCCACCGCTTTCAGATGATACGTCGATGGTATCATATAAAATAATAATATCAGAGACCTCATTCGTATTTTCAATATCACTAACATCATTCCAAAGCATAGGAAATGGCTGAGGAAATAAGATGGCTCAGGCAAGATCTTGCTTGAGCCATCTTATTTCCTCAACCATTTCCTTGATTTTTTCACCATTGGTTAAATTGTTCGATCTATCATTTTAATAAAGGCTTCCTCTATACTATATATTTTTTTCTAATTTCCAAGAGAGTTACAAGTTTACAAGACAAACGCAAGTAAACAAATACTTTGTACCATTTCATTTCGCTCTGATGTCAACCTTTAAACACATACTTCATAAACTATTTCAGCTGCGGCGCGAAGCGGCATAGGTCAAGAAATTGTCGGGATATTTTTTTCTGTTGTTGAACACTTTTCTCAAAAGTATTACTGATCGTAGAGAGATGATTTTGAAGAAATTGGACTGCACTATCGATAAGAGAAAAATATATAATACATGCCAGTTACAAGGATAATTCTTTCGAAAATTTATGCGCTTATTTTTCTGTATTAATTATAGGTATACTACAGTATTTTGCTGAGTGCAATGCTAAACTTTGCCAACAATCTTAATTTGATAGTAGGAGAAGGCATAGTGTACAGCAAGGGAACTTGGAGTAAAGGCAGACTGAAAAAGAACGAATATCACCAAACGCTTAGAATAGGCTAATGAAACTCTGCCTTGTACACCATCGGTGAAAACCCACGGCCAGAAACGGTCTGCATAGGACTCAACAGACGAATACCCTCACCGGCCCTTTCACGAGGGCAGCGAGCTGATTCCGCCCCTCGCCACCGCACTCGTGCCTCTTTACCCATACAAAACTGTCGTCGTCCAACAGGAAGTAGGTCGCCAGTATCGTTGGGTACTGGAAAATCAACACTTTTGTGAGCTTTCCCCCCCCGGCAGCCTTTGGGACAGGGACCACTGTCCCTTTGTATCCCTGAGTCGTCAGTGTCTGCTCCGCCTCTCCTGCCCACACTATACTCTTTGTCTTCCTTCAGCAGTGGCTCGGCCCTCCTTAGTTTCTCCATGAAACTCATGGCGCAGTCCTGTGGGAATAGCAAACGTTTTCCCATTCTGGGTTCCTGTTTTGGTTCCCTCGTCGTTCTTCTTCTCCCGGTCGCGACCATTTCCTTGTTTCTCATATCCACTCTTCCTTCATTTATTTTCCTCTTATGGGATCCATTTTCAATAGTTTGCGAATAAAACTTTCCTTCTCCCTTTCTACATCGTAAAGGGGGGACCCTGATGTGGCAACACTAGCCATGCTGACACCGTTGGAGGGGTTGACATGATCTGCGCCCGCCAGGTCAGTCCTTGACAGCGGTGGCCAGGAATCTTCCTTGCAGGATTACACCAATGATGACCATGTCCCTGGGTCTTTTAGAATCACGAGTTATAATTGTAACAACTAATTACAAATTACTAGAGCCCGAGGCACCTTACCCGCTCCTTGTCCGAGCACTAAGTTGAAGGCGGGTAAACAGGCTTCGAGAAAAGGAGGAAGAGGGGAGAGCGCGAGAATGCGAGAGAGCGAGAGAGTAAGAGAGCGAGAAAGAGAGAGAGAGAGGGAAAGAGAGAGAGAGAAAGAGAGAGAGAGAGATGGGGGTAGGGAGAGAGAGAGAGAGAGAGAGAGAGAGAGAGAGAGAGAGAGAGAGAGAGAGAGAGAGAGAGAGAGAGAGAGAGAGAGAGAGAGAGAGAGAGAGAGAGGAAAGCGATAGAGAGAGAGAGAGAGAGAGAGAGAGAGGAAAGCGGAGAGAGAGAGAGAAGAGAGAAGAGAGAGAGGAGAGAAAGAGAGAGAGAGAGGGAGGGTGGGAGGGAAAGATAGAGAGATAGAGATAGAGAGAGAGGGACATAGATAGATAGAGAGGGAGATAGATAGATAGAGAAAGAGAGAGAGTGTAGGGCCTCCCTGGCTTGGTTGCTGGTCTGGAGAGACCAGCACGAGAGTCCATCTCTTTTACCATCTGATGGACATTAGGCTTTCGATTGCCATCTGAAGCCACGTATGGCTCCAGGGTGGCTGCTGTGGTCTGGGCCTTGCATGGGTCGTCAGCTTTACGATCAGTCAGTGGGGGGGGTTTTGATTTATTTTTTCCATATATTTGGCACTGCTTCATCCTCTCACGCCCCTACCCACCACGGAGTCCAACAAGGGGAAGGTGTGTGTCAGAGCCAGTGTCTGACAGCCACAGGGGTGATGAGAGTATATATGCAGCCAATAACCATTGTGGCGGCGCTCACTGACCATTGTGAGTGTCAATGGAGGCATGACTGCTTGCCCCTAGCCTCCCATGGGAGACCAGCCGATTGACCGTGACCGTGCCGGGATCAGGCCGCCTGTCTTGCTGGAATAGAGGACCAAAGAGGCGTGTTGCTAGCCGCAGGGTGTACTCATTCACGGCATCCAGGACTCCCGTCTCCACAGTGGACAAGGCTGCCACGCACGGCAAACGCGTGGGCAGGTGTAAACCCTTGGGGAGAGACCAGAGGGGATGCCCTTCCACCTACAGGACATCATTGCTTGGATTCTGCCTTCCTTCTGAAACAACCACCCAAAGGTTGTTTCACCACAGTGAAGGAGGAGAGGCCTTGTGCCCTTTCAAAGTGATTCCCTCTTCCCTCTGAAACAGCCAACTAAGGGCTCTTTCACCACAGTGAGGGAGGAGGAGTCCTGCACCTTTTCAGGGAAGCTCGTTCAGCCCTCAGAAAGCAGCCACCCAAAGGCTGTTTTCCCACAGTGAGGGAGAGGAGCTACCTTTCAAGGTGGTTCCAGTGGCGGGACGGTAAGTCGGTATTCTGTCTAGCAGTAGCTATTGTGACAGAGGCATTGTAGGAGCAGGTGTAGGTGTGAACCCTTGTGGAGAGGCCAGAGGGGATGTTCTTCCACCTACTGAACATCATTGTTTGGAACCTTTTGCTCTTGCACTTTTACTAGGAGGTTCCTCTCTTTCCTTTGAAACAGCCACCCAAAGGCTGTCTCACCACAGTGAGGGAAGGGAGCTCTTTCACTTTTTCCAGGCAGTTCCTCTCATCACCACAGTGATGGAGGAGAGGGCCTGAACCTTTTTTCAAAGTGAAAGTGTCCTGCACCTTTTCAAGGAAGCTTTTGCTACCCTCAGAAGCAGCCACCCAAAGGCTGATTCACCACAGTGAGGGAGAGAAGCTAACTTTCAAGGCGGTTCCAGTGGCGGGAAAACAAGGCAGTGTTCTGTCTAGCAGCAGCTATTTCGACAGAACTAATGCCAAAGGGAGGGGCTCCTACCTGCCTATCGCCCTAAACGAATAACTAGAGTGGCAGTCATTGAATGGTCTGCCAGACCAGTCCCTAGCAAAAAGATTGGCAACTCTCTGTGTACCGTAAGGCAGGCACGCTAAGGACCCCCAGACACACCCTCCCCTGCGGGAGGTAAAGGTCTGCCCACGTCCGAGCACGCGCCCGAAGATGGGGTCTAGCTCACCAGAAGGTGCACAGAGAGTTATCCTAATGCCGAAAAATCTGTAAAGGAAAGCATAGGCAATAGGGCACGAAGCTAAATGCAGAGCAAGCAAATAGCGTCGCGGCAGCAACGAGGGGTGGACGCCGAGGCGTCCGGTAACACGTAGTAGAAGCCGAAGTGTGGCTCCAGTCGATCTCTTTAAAAACACCCTAAGCAAAATTCCCGTGAATGAGGCATAACGGTGCCCCCTTTGCACTGTCGGCTAGCATGGTGCCACCCACAGAGCTCCGTTGTCGGCATCACGATGGCTATCTTCGCGTTATCGGCTGAACTGGCGTCTTCCTGGCCAGTACAATCCTCCCTTCCCTCTGAATTCGCCAGGAAAGGCTAGTTCACCACAGGGAGAGAAGAGAGGAGAGTCCTTCCAAGTTGAATCCTGTGGCTGGGATGAGAAAGAGAGAGACAGAGAGACACGCACACAATACAGAGGGGAGAGAGAGAGAGATAAGGATAAATCCGATATGCGAAGTTGAGCCTCGACCGGCCTGTGCCGACTAATGTCGACTCGCTAAAAGTGTGTCAGCTGGTGAGCTTAGTCCTTACCCACCGTAGTGCCCAGCCACAGCAGTAACCTCCAGGCGACAATTGCAACTTCTCGCGCCTGGGCGGGGCGCGAACCGCCGACCCCTCGGATGAGAGGCCGACACGTTATCACTGTACTAGCCCGGAGGCTAAAGAGAGAGAGGGGGGAGGGCGGGAGGGAGGGAAGGAGAGAGAGAGAGAAGAGGAGGGAAGGGGGGAGAGAAAGAGAGAAGAGGGGGGGAGGGAGAGAGAGAGAGGGGGGGAGGGACAGAGAGAGATGGGGGCAAGGGGAGAGAGAGAGAGAGAAGAGGGGGGAGGGAGGGAGGGAGAAGGAGAAAGAAAGAGAGAGGGAGGGAGAGAGAGAGAGAGAAGAGGGGAGGAGGGAGAGAAAGAGAGAAGAGGGGGGAGGGAGGGAGAAGGAGAAAGAGAAAGAGAGAGAGAGAGAGAAGGGAGAGAGGAGACAGAAAGAGAGAAGGGGGAGAGAGAGAGAGAGAGAGAGCGAGAGATAGGGAGAGAGAGAGAGAATGAGAGAAAGAGAGAGAAGAGAGGGGGAGGAGGGAGGGAGGAGAAGGAGAAAGAGAGAGAGAGAGGGGGGAGGGAGAGAGGAGAGAGAGAGAGAGAGTTAGAGAGAGAGGAGGGGGGAGGGAGGGAAGGGGAGAGAGAGAGAGAGAAGGGGGGCGGAGGAGACAGAAAGAGAAAGAGAGAGAGAAGGAGAGAGAATAAGTGAGAGAGAAAACGAGTGAGTGAGAAAATGAGTGAGTGAGAGAGAGAGAGAAGAGAAGAGAGAGAGACAGAGAGGAGAGGGAAAGAGGAGAGAGGGAGAGAGAGAGAGAGAGTGAGAGAGAAGAGGGGGAGGGAGGGAGGGAGGGAGGGAGAAGGAGAAAGAGAGAGAGAGAGAGAAGGAGGGAGAAGACAAAGAGAGAGAGAGAGAGAGAGAGAGAGAGAGAGAGAGAGAGAGAGAGAGAGAGAGAGAGAGAGAGAGAGAGAGAGAGAGGGAGATGGAGAGAGAAAGAGAGAGAGAGAGAGAGAAGGGGGGAGGAGACAGAAAGAGAGAGAGAGAGAGATTCCACTGTCCTCAGCCGACTCCAACAGGTCTACACCCGTGAAAATGACAAATGACCTTAGAACACGCTAATTCAACCTTTATTGTTTGCGG